ATAACTTTGTTCGGAATTCGAAATCTAAGGCAACGCAATAGCATCAGATTTATGGTAAAAGTATTTCACAACTCCACTCCACTCCGGGCACTTAATAAATATTTCACGACCCACTAAAGATGTCGGCAGACATGACATCGCTGTGCCGCTTAAGTAATTATGAATATGGAAACAATATCAACGCGACATGCTCCCATCTTCGCCTGGAAAACCAAATAAATGTGATGGACAAGGATGTTTTGATTGCGCTTGGGGGACACATTTAAAGGTGAAAATTTTACAGCCTCCCAACGTCTTTCACCTTCAGCTTCCCAAAACGGGAGTAAAGGGATTCTGTCCCTCTAGTTTTTCTCGATGGGGCTTCAGCCACGCACAGGTTGCCCATTACGTGGTATTTGTCCTTATTTACCGTTAGAGGCCGCCCACCTGGATGCTTGGTTTATAAAGCACCTGCTTAACCCTAAAAGCGGAACCCACAACAAAAAATAAGGAAGACTGAAAAGACACTGATCAAAATTCAGGAGCAAGTTATTTATTTTAGACTTGATAAAAAATAATCAAAATATATATATATGCAAGATTATATATGAATATAGATTATATATGACTATAAATATTCTAACATAACAATAAGTAAGAAACAATTATTATAAATACTTAGTTTTGATTATATCATCAACATGTTCGATCTACATATGTATATTATATGCCATTATCGAATAAAACAATATGCATTGGTCATTGGCCAATAATAGCATTCTACATGAAATTAATTAAGGTCATTAGCTTTTAAAAATTAAAGTTAATAATACAATTAAATCTTATGAAATTTCGGTAGAGTTAAAGATTATTTTACAATAGCTAATGATTTTATAATTTCAAGATGTTTTTCTCAGTGCCCAAAAGTGGGCAACAGGAAGCTGTGGCAATAAAAGTAAATCCGTATTCAAGGTGCACAAGCCGACTAAAATCTTTTGGGAACAAGAAAGCTGCAGCGTCGACGGGTTCTCTTTGGGCCAGCCAGCAGATTATGTATTTACAGTCAGATAACTCCTGTTCTGGCCAAGTTGCCCCTGCCACTCCATTTCCTATCATTGTTGTTGTAATAAGGTAACTGCCTAGATGATTGCCGGCAATTGTTGACCATGACCCAAAGGCTCTAGGCAATATCCATGTGTGTGAGGGCAAAACTTAACGCTGAGTCAGCAAAAATCGGATGGCGCCCATTTTGTTTATCTACATAATAAACTCACCTGAAATTATTGAAGCCCGCATTTTGGACACGTTCGTGTCGTCAGCAGGTAAAATTCACCCAAAGGGACATTGCCAGGACTCCGGGGCTTTTGTTTGCCCAAAACAGAAAGGGACTTGGTCAAAAAAGTTCATGCAAACTTCTCAAATTCCATTTCTAAGTGCTTTCCCAATCCATTTCTTATAAATTTAGTCAGCTATCAAGTTACAGATAATTGTAAAGACAAATGGAAATGTATAAGTTACTCTATTCTCAAATGAATGTAGAGAATATTAACCAAATCTAATGGGAATGAAAAAACAAGCGTGCTCCATATGTTATTTTTATTTATTTTATAAAAATGGTTGTAAAAATCTTAGAAATTGCTATTAAAAATTACTTAAAGCAAGACATGATTTAGTTTTCTTTTAACGCTGGTACCATAGTTTTTAGGTACGATTAATTCCCGCAAATAAAAGCATTGAAAATATACCTATGTCATGAACATTATTTTTACCCTCTAAAAGCGTGCATATTGCACAAAAAAAATAAAGTGATGAACTCAATTCAAACCCTTATTTCTTAAAAACCTGTGAGCAAAAACTGTGTCAATGCCAAGACTATAAAAACAAAAATATGTTGTAAAAAACTCATTTGAGACCCTGCTTTCCCAAGAGACCTCAAAGCTACAGGCTTACAGATGTAATCAAACGTAGCAGCCAACGCGCCACAAAGTATGCAACTATTTATGCACATGCTTAATGCTCAATGTAGAGGTTGCCAAAAGCTGGCAGGGAATTTTAGTTTGCTTAAAAAATTAAATACCGCTCGTGTTGCATAATTCTGCACATGACATCTATGTCTGCTTGTCTATCGGTCTGCCATTCAGTGAAGTTGCCATGGTGGGGCTTTTTTGGGATTCCCTGGCAGGCTGCAGTCAGAAATGTCACAGGCCATGATGATGACGCCCTCAGCCTCTCCAGCGTAAAATATTATTTAATGCCCTCCGACAGTTGAGTGAAGCAATATCGTTTACATGCATTACCTATATGCATAGAGCAGCTATGTGTGGGAGCAGCTACATGAGGTGGTAGGGGCACTCAGACAGATTGCCATAATGGTGGTACGGGATGCGAGGACTAAAATCGCTTTTAAGCCAACATTTTCCTGCTGGCGCCCGTTGCTAAGTTTTAAAACCAGAGAAATTCGGGATGGGAGGGCTGCGAATGAATGCCAGAAAATCGCTGGCATTTATGCTTGCGAATATTTTCGGCAATGTCTGCCTGTTCACTTATTTATATATTTTATTGGAATCGGTGTGGGGTCTTTAATTAAATTGCAACAGGGTTAAAATAAAGAGCCGCGAAAGCATCTGAGTTGGTATTTTTATTCGTATGACCTATAATTAAAAGAGCTGCATGCACTGGCCATAAAGAATGAGCTTTTTAACAAAATATTTTACAATTCTTTTTTTCAATAAGTGAAATACTAATAATGTGTAATAATATTGGCTTTTGTAGCACACAAAGTTATTAAATACCATGTTTGATTTATTGATCTTGTTATTTATTGCAACATTTATATTAACAACCAAATTTAAATGCATATTTAAAAAAAATTAACATCGTTAATTTTATAAAGCATATCAGTTTATCTTCTTAGTTTATCATTCATTCATTAGTTTATCATTCATTATTTTCTCTTGTGCATCAATTAATAACTTCTTTATAATCACTGCTGTTATTGGGAAGTTGATCGATTTTTTATGCATTCGATTTTTGCTATATCGAAATTTAAGTTCACAAATTTCATTTTTTTATTTTTAAACCCGCAGTATGGATTTTTATATTTTGTTTGTGCTTTTATTGGGAAATTGTATGCATCAAGCACATGGCAATGATGGACAACTTAAAATAAACAAGTGGTATATATAAAAATAAATAAAATTGTAAGTGATTATAAAACTGAAATTACAATTAGTGTTATTTTGTATTATTTTAATAAATGGTTTAAGCTTATACCTTTTGTTTGTCATAAAGCGTTTAAAAAGTAAATCAATATAGATATTAAAGAGCCAATATTATGAAATTAAATTGGAACAATGTAAACAAAATTAAATCAACAGTTATTGTCAATATAAAATTAATAAAAATGTCAAATGCTTATGCTGCAATAAACAAGGTTTATTTTTGTGTTTTGATGTCAGTGGCATAAACAACTAAACAAGAATAATACATTTTTAATTGAAAATATAAACAAGACAAAACATCCAACCGAAACGAGAAAAACTCTAAAAAGCAAATACATGCATAAATGAATGCCGTATATTTAAACAATTTGATCAATTAAAAGCAATTTTCACCAAAAAGGCAGCAAATCCTCGGACAATGTAAAAAAACATTTCTCTCGCTAAAAAATGCAATACTAAAGAATATATTAAAACAAAACACCCCTCGACATATTTTTTCGCTCCACACACTGGTTCGCACACACAAATTGCCCACCAAAGGCCATCCAATGAGTTGGTAAGTGTGGTGTGGCTAACAGGGGGTCATAGCCATCATAGCCTGAACCCGTGCCGATTGAATGAAATTTCACGCTGAAAATCACATTGTTTACCAGCGAAACAATTGCGAAAAAGAACTCTTGCATTGCAAATGCAAAAAAGTAAAGTAGAAAAAAAGGGTGGCAAAGGAAAAAGCAACAAGAAAATAACTGACATTTGTTGCTGCTGCTCGTTTTCGCTGTTGCATGTTGATTTTCCCTCCTGATGCAGCCCTCGTTGTTCTTGTTGTCGCCGCTTTTCCGGCTTTTGTTGTTGCGTTTTTCACTTCCTTTTGTTTTGGCACGCGTTCTGTGCATGGAAACATTCGTTGTCGCTGATTGCAGACACGCATAAAGAGCTCAAATGCCCAAGGGAGTGGTTCGGTTTGGGCTATAGTCAACTTATAAATACCCTGGCCTTTAAAAATTTAGTGATGCTCAAATGCGTGTTAAGATAAAATCCATTATTTCCCTATGTCCGTTTTTAGAGATTTAAATTACAAAAAATTTTAAACGGTTAGAATGATTTTATACGTAATTCTTTTAAAACCTTCGAAAACATCTAGTAAATATAAGATTTGATGAAAATTTTTGTAAAAATTTATATAAAAGTGTTTCGAGAATTAAATAAATGACTTAAGGTCTTAGTTGTTAAATATAAGAAATATTAAATTAATAAACCTAAACTAAACCTTTTTACTTACTTCGACTGTGAATAGTAACGTAACGTTTTTAATTTACATTAGTTAATAGTTGATACTTTTCAATCTTCAAATATTGTGAAATATTAATTACTTCAAAGTTATATTTATGAATCAGTCTTTTTAATTAAAGATGTTTTATTTAAAGACTACTGTTTAAGAAAAAAATTTTTTCTTTATAAGATAAGAGAGGAAATATTATTAAAGATTTAATTTTTATGCATTTCTAGCTTATCAAGTTATCAACTAATATATTTATTTTCGGCTACCCACGGATATCAGATATTGTTAATCCTGAATAATGAACCCTCTCGCATGTCGGAAAATCCCTGTTAGTTAACTGAACTACTCGCCCCTACAAAAAGAAGTCAATGCAGTTGGCAGCTTCCGTTTTCGATTACGGTCCCCATTCCCCCAATCTGGCCAACAGATGCACCGTCCACCTACCATCGACCATTGACCACGTGGTTGGCCACAGGAGCGTCGGTATTTAATGGTCGCATTGCGGACAATGCCGGAACTCTCTGCCAACCGATTCGATTGTGTCCTGTGTGTGTGCGGCAAATTTATGATTTCCTTTCGATTGTTTTCAATGCATTTATTGGGTGCTCAAAATGGACAGCAGGCGGTGACGATTTTGTTGACCTCGTAGCACTGTCCATCGGCGGTGCAGACCAGTTGGATGCGGGGACTGCTCCTTCCGCCAAATTGGGATCTGCTCCAGCTATGGTAGACATCCGTGGCACTGATTCCATAGCCATCCATCAGCCAGTTCTGCAAATCAGCCGGAAAAGTCTCATACACCGGCACACTCTGCAATCAAAAACGTCGAGATTATTATTAGAGATTTCCGTTCACGAGTGCAAGTAGTGGAAAAATTGGATAATGCCATAAACAAGTACACGGAAAAACTACGTATCTATTGATTTTTCAAAAACAATTATCTAATAATCACTATCGTCTAATTAAAAATAGCAATAGCAATTTTTTTATTAGCAACAGACAACACTTTATTAAAATTAGTAAAAATCGTTTTTTTCCAAAAACAGCTTAACAAAGTTTTTATTATTTGTAAAAAATGTAAGATGGATACGTATATGTTTAATGAATAATAAGTTATAATTCATTGACTTATTATTATTACTTGATTTGAGAAAGAAAATCAATTAAAAATTATGTTAAAAATATTTGTTTCGCTTATTTATACTCTTTTTTTAGCTCTCAACACTGATCTAATTGGTAAATTGCATATACACTTATTATGAATTAATTAATTCAGATTAATATAAAATATAAAATGATTTAGGCCGAAAAAGATTCTTTTCTAAAATTAGTACTTCATTTGAATATATAAAATATGTGTTGCGAATTAAAAAGACCTCCAATCACTCTTAAAATACCAAATCGATTCGAATTATTGATAATTTTTTCCTGTATAGTTATCCTATCTCAAACGTTATGACCCTGCTGGTCATGACATTGTTAAGGAATCTGCCCGACATTCGTTTTTTCTTGTTCTTTCTCTTCCTGCGAAAGCGCACGGAAATTAATTTCCGGTGCAACGCTGCGTATGAGCGATGCGATGCGATATATACTGGCAATTACAAGTGCAAAATGAAATTAATAAGAGGGTGACGGCCGAAAGGGGGAGCTGCAAACAGGGACGAGTTAGCAAAGGTACAACAAACAAGCGGCGATAAAAATGTGCAAGTTTGTCAACTAATTAAAAAGGGAAGCAGCAACCTGGGTGAGTTGCAGTTTGAGGAACAGGGAAATTGCCGGCAGAGGGACATTGGCAACTTAATTGAAAACTGCAGTAAACAGCGCCAAAGCAGTTTAGCCATGCTATATATTTTATGGTGAGAGAGGGCCGTTAGAAATGTTAGTGTTTATATATTTAATCTAATTAAATTTTTCTCCAAAAGGAAAACATTATTATTACATAAAAAAATTTACATTTAGTATTTTCAAAGTATTTCTATATAATTGTCTAATATGATATTTTTTTGGAACATTTTTAATGTTTAATATTTGCTATTAATTATATCAAAATTGTATTTAAAGATATTTTGCTCATATATAGTTTGTGAGACTGATATATTTCTGTTATCCCAATTTGTAATAAACAAATACCTTTTCAATATGTTTAATATTAGTATGCATATATTACACAAAAGATTTGTTAATTTATAAAGATTAAATTAATTTTAAGCACGGCTACTTACTTTTGTAATTCCCAATTAAAAACTTTACATTGAAAACATAAACTTTACTAGCTAACCCCTTCGAGTGGCTCAGTTGACTGGCACGGCCGAGAGTGTTGCATTTCCGTTAACGTCAGAGTTAAAGCGAAAGGTAAACTAAAGTTCCGTTTGCGGAGGAAGGGCCGAAAGGCGAAGTTGGCGCAGGAGAAGCAGTCTATAAATTGTATCCAGCTAGCCGAAATCTGGTAGCGTGCTTATTAAATTTGAAGAGAAAATGGAATTTCACACTGCAGCGGAGAGAGACAAACACAAACACAGGTGACCGGTGGCTGGCTAATTAAATTTACCAATTAGACAGACAAACACTTGAGACACAAAAGACACCGAACTGGCCAGAAACACAGACTAAAAACAGAGAGTCCTTCGGGGTGCTCCAGACAAAGTTAAGCGTTGCTTTTGATTAGGTTAATTTGGCTGGCTGCAAGGCCCAGTAAGCATTTGCCGAATCAACATCAAAGTTAATTAAAAATACATAAAACCCATAAACATAAGTGCCGAGTTATCATGCGAGGGGCGTGGCAGCGTCATTAAGTCACCATGTCGACTTAATTACGAAAACTGTCACCGAATTCGCGCTGAGAGTCGTTGAAAAATGTCTTGTGAAAAATGTGCGATAATTATTGCCACAATTTATCTCTACTCAACGCGAGGAGACCAAAAAAAAAAAAAGAGAACCTAAAATAACATAATTATTTATGACGAAGAGGGAGGCGACATCCGAAAAAGGAAGCAATAAAATGTAGGAAAAGTGATAAATATGCGCCAGTTTTTCTCCACCCCATGCGTAATCACAGAAGCCATGAAGGATCTTGGGGAGAAAAAAGCGGAAGTCCTTTGTTGCTTTTTTGGCCGGCTTTAAAGCCATCGCATAAATAAGCAGCAAATTATTGAACGTAAAAGTTGCCAAATCAGCAGATGGGGCAAAGGTCCTAAAAGCTAGCAAACACTTGAAAAAATACCCTTCCTTTATTCAAGATGAGAAGGAAACGATCTAGAAAACTTTCTTTAAAACCATCTGAAAGACAATGTGTTAAAGGGCTTACTCTAAAAGCTACGAAAGAACATAAGTTGCTGGTGAAAAAATAATGTAACCGTAATGAAACTTTTTAAGTAGTTTGCAATGCACTAAAATTAATTAAAAGCAATAAATATGTTATTTGAGTATTTTGTGATTTTAATCACCAAGGAAGCCCAAAAGCTTCAGAGTTAATCGTCGAAATTCGGTTCTGAAAAATAGTTTGCTATTTTATTAGGATTTAATTTAAGATTAAAGGTATAATTTAATTTAATTTAAATACTTTTAATCCTTGTTTTATTATTTTTTCCAAAAATTCAATGATTAATCAATCATAAAAGATGTATATATATTAGACAGTTATTTTTTGTCCGTGCAGAAGTAAGGCATTGCCTTAGGCATGCCAAACAAAACACTTTTCAATTAAGCAACTTGTCAGGCTGAGCGGGCACTGCCAAGGCGGCTCTGTTCGCCCACCGCCCACGGCTTCCCGAAAGGCGAAAAGGTTTAACGCCGACAAACACACACACCAGGAAGGACACACAGGCACACACACCGCTGCAGATACAGAAGCCAAAGGGAAGTCCCCTAAAGGAATATGGAAAACAAATTGATGGAGGTAGCTTGTACGAATTTCAAGCAAGAGGATACCCTTTAAGAATAAATAAATATGCGATACGCATTCTAGAGGATTAAAAAATGCTTAATATAAAAAAATAAACAAAAAGTATAATTTTTTAATAGAATAAGGAAAATAAATGTATATTATAGTTTTTCTTATGAAAAATAAAGAACCCTTAAAATAAACCCAAGCCTTTGGCTTAAAATTTTGTATATTTATTTATATAAAGAACGAGAAAAATGCTGTGATTAGTCGGAAAAAATATAATGACAGTAGGTATTTAACCTTCAGTCTAGACTTTCATATTAACTAAAAATTATAATACTTAATCAGGTATATATATGATAACGAACTATTCAAAAGCAAACATTAAACTATTACCTACTTACTCTACTATCAAAAATATAAAAAATAATAATCATTCAATTAAATTCTTCATATACAATTCAAAAATGAAACTATAAATGAAAATCATAAAACAAACAATATTTTAAGGAAATTGTGAGTTCGCAGGTATTAATAATGATGTTATTTCTCCATCAGTATACACGCTTAATCCTTCCTTTCCTAAAATCAATTGATTTCCAAACTGTGACCCCCTGGCTATCTCATGCCGATTGCACAATCCTAGTACAACCCATCAGGATGTCTGCAGGGTATGGCCCCTTAAAAGCGTAGAAAGGACGAAAAGAAATGCCTGGCATACTTTTCGGCGCAAGCATATTTACGTTGCATGTATTGCTAACGAGCTGAAGAATTATGACTCCATTAGATGAGCAGGGGGGAGTTAGAGGATTTTGAGGGTTTGGGGGTTCCTCGGATGCTTAGAGAGTCCCCAGCATAGTTAGCCTTAAAGTTCCCGGCCATTTCCTTGTTGTTTTTTCCTTAGAGCGCCACGGCTAAGGAAGTGACGCCATTTTGTGCAGATTACGCTTTGATGAACTCAATGGCAATGGTAAGGATAGGTTGGAGGGGTTTTGGAGGGGTTTTGGAGGTCGGGGAGGTGCCAAGTGAAAGCCCAGGGCCTCCGACGAACAGCTGAGCCAGACAGCGGCTTAATGACAACGTCAACAAGACACCAAGAGATTGAATTTACAGAACAAACAATTTTCATTTGCAGTTGAATTAGGCAAAGTAATCCCCAGTGGACATTTTCCAGTTTTTTTTCTCATCTTCAAGAGAAAGCAGACGACGGTGGTTGCAGTTGTATTGGATGGCCTTCCAACAGCCTAATGAACAGCGGTCTTAGCTCCACAAAAGTATACAAGTGAATCCTGGTTTGGCCAGAATTAAAAAAATCTGGTATTCCTAAATTCCAATTACAAAACAGATGAAGGAATTACAGGAATCGCATTTAGGTATTCAATCTTTTATGAAAACATGAAAAGGAATATGTATATGAAATTATTGATCCAGCACAGTATAAAGTTATAATGCATCATTACCAATCAATATATTTAAAATTAAATAAACATTAAATATTTAAACTTTGCAAAAAAATAATAATATATTAATTATTTTCAAATTTTAAGGGCCATAAAGATAGATCAGAAGCAAATTATAGGTATTTTACTGACAGTTAAACGATTTTGAAACAAATACCTAAATAGATGAAAAACAATGCTTGACAATACAATTTTAGTACAATTTATTTAGCACCATCAAAGTTAAAGCAAGTAAGTTCCTTAAGGAAAAAGAAGTAAATACAGAGCAACATAACTTGTAAAGTTAAATAAACATAAGAAACTGAAACTGAGGCGCCAACACAAGGTTTTTCCTTAACAATATGAAATGTTTTAATATTATACAAAGCCAGAGGCTCTTATCAGTAACAACTACTAAAAAACCAAAAACAGATTCTCCTACTCTCTTTCACCACACCATATATCTACCACTATCAGTGTCGTTTGTTTTGCATAAAATTTGCATTTATTTGTGCGAGACAATCTGCAAAATTGAAAGCAGATGTCTCAAAGCGAACCAGCCAGCCACAACAGAAGCCACAGCAGCAGCAACATTGCAAAATGCAATAAGGAAAAATTCGGAGATTGGGTAACCAAAATCGACTCCCAAGTCCAAGTTCCTTGAGGGCGAAAAGGAAGCTATTTAAATTTAGGACCAACCCTCAAAAAAACATGTTGGGGAGTTCATATACCATAGCTAAACAGGGTATAGATTGTGGCCATCCTTTGCAAGAGATACCATCTCTTTATGCAAGTGCTAATAAGAAACTTTCGATGCATGCCATAATCCTGGCTTTTTTTCGGCCTCAACTGCAATCTCTGCCAGTGAAATTGGTTTTGCTTTGAGGCAATTTCTGGGAAGTTGATGATGTGATTATTAGGGGAAAATATGAATTTTTAATCAAGCTGTTGCAAAGGAGTCCAATAGAAAATCATTTTAGGAACGGAATATTTTCGAAAAATCACAAGAGAAGTAATTTTAAAGGCTCTAAATTGGAAATGGTTCCCACAGTCTTAAAATCTATTTTTATGACCGCAGTATGCGTCTATTACAAAGTAAAGAAGATTAATTTTAAGCTTTTTTACTGAATAAGGTATATAAAATATGGTAAATTAAAATTAAAAATATTTTAATAACTTTTTATATGGTTTATTTTGTCAAAAGATTTGCTTTCAACAAATAATATATATCAATAACAATAATATATATTATTTTATAATACAAATCATAATTTCTTATTAAATTAAAATATCAAAATTTTATATTCTTAGATTTTGGGATTATCTGCATTTTAATTTTATTAGATTCGTTTTATTAACCATTAACCCTGACGACTAACATTTCCTTCCACCTTAACTTGGATACTGTGAACTTAAAATCATTTACAAAATGGAAATTTGTATGCCCGTGAAGATGTTTAATCTCCAGTAATTATGTGGAGTGGGTGTAATCCTAAGCTGAATGATAAACTTGGTTCGGGGCTTAATCGGTTATTGCCCTTCGGTTCGATGGCAGTTGAAGGCACTGATAAATCGCTAGCTGCTGCCTGATTGTTTTCAATCCAGGGAAGCGACGTGGCGTGCCTGCTGGCTGTAAATGAAATCCGGAGGCAGTGGAGCGTGACCACCATGCGGTCACGTTTCTGAAGATGCTACTCCAAAAAAAAAACCCCATTCCGCCAAAATGCAAGACAGGCTCTGACAGATATCCGGGGCAAAGTTAAAAAAAAAGTACACCATCGAAAAAGTTAAGCAGCAACAACAGCGTGATTTATGTTGGCAGGAGTTATCTGGCTTACCGATTTCGGGGCCCAGGCTAAGAGGCTGCTCACCTGAAACTCATTGGCCATGGCGGCCAGCCAGTTGGGATCCGGGTTCAGCAGGAACTGCTCCTGGTTCTCCACCACATCGACCACTTCCACTTCCTGCAACGTCGGCGGTTCCAAGCCGGCGGCTGAATTTATGGCCAAGGCTAATTGGTACAGCAAAAAATTCGTGCGTCCTGTAATCCAAAAAAAAATGCTTTGAAATGGTACCAAAAAAAACGAACTAATTGAATTTAAAAATTCTCTAATTTAAAAGCAAAGGAATATTTGAAACTGTAAATCAAACCAAAGAAAAATATAAAAGTTATTGAATATGTAATCCAGTGAGAGTACACATTTTAAAATCATTTAATATTGACTAAAGAACAAAATCTTTCGCAGATATTTGTGATATTTTGTTTTTACTATGCTTTTTATAGAATTAACAATAATACATTTCATTTAAAATAGATTTGCATTTTTTTTACCTTTCTGGAAATTAGTAAATATTTAACTATCTAAAAGTTTGCTTAAAAATATACGTGGCTTATTTTTTATTTTAATAGATACAGATTCAGATTATTTCAGTTTATATCATACCTAGTTTTTACCAAATCAATAAAATTAATTATTTGATATTTTTGAATTTTAGAATGCTACAAAAGATAATGAACAGGTACATTATAGGTTAGATAGAAAAAACTTATTTAAAATCGATGGCTATCTGCTGAGATTTTTTAAACATTTTTAGGGATAACCTTTGTTAATCTATTTTCTCAGTGCTAAAGCTGCTGTTTTTTCAAGTGTCTGGCTAAACAAGAAATTTAATTTTAAAAAACTCCAAAGCGCCCAGCCTCCACCCGAAACCCCAAAAGTACTCGATTAGTGAAGCCTCCTCGAGCACTGTTTTGTTCTCAGACTCTGCGCTAAGTATTTTGTTTGAGTTCAACTAGCTACTTACTGTCAGTTAAGTGCAATCCCTCAGAAAACCAGAGTGGGACAAAGGAAATGGGGAAAAGTGGCCGGGGAAATGCGATCCGCTCTGCAGGTGATTGGCAAATGCGCACATGAATCTTTGATAAGCGTCTCGAATTGCAGTCATTAGACAATTTCTGGGAATCGAGCGGCTTTATGTCGATGGCAGCTGGCAATCAACTGAACATTTGTCCAATCATCAAGCCAAACGAACAAAATCAAATTGTTTGGCAATCACTTGGGAACTGCGGAAAAAAGGCCGACGATGATTCCTAAAAGCTCTTGAAAAGGGTCCTTTTTTATTAAGGTAATCCCATTCAGCTTCGAATGACTCTCTAATTTCCGTTTCAATGGGTTAATACAAATAATGCAGCTTTAGAAATAATTTAAGAAGGTAAAGGAGTTAGATTTATGGTTTATCTTAGTAAGTGCCTTGTAATGTTTAATTTTTATTTGATTTAAGCATCAAGTTTATTTTTTTATGCTCTCAGGGTTTTGAAGAATAAGTAATGAGTAAATATTTTCTAATTTTAAAGTTAGACTCTTCATTCAGGGATGAGAATGTGCTAAAATGTTGATAACATATTTCCAATGGTATTGTTATTAAATAATTATAATAAACAAAAATCAAGGTGAAAATAAATCTCACGAAACTTTCAAACAACTATAGATTAATAAACTTTAGTCCGTAAAAACCAGCAATTATTCCAAGAGATTCGCTCCTTCATAAAGTTTTATCGCCTTTTTTCTATTGATGTTTAATTTGAAATCGTCTTCTACCTCCGTTCGCTTTGAGATTGCAAACTTATTTAATTAACTTGTGTACAAATTATGCGCTTGTCACTTGAAACTAATTTCCAACTGCAGTTCAGAATCGCTTTGGCGAAGAACTTTTCGTTTCGTTTGCGTTTTTTCTGCAGCTTTGAGCTGTCGCTAAGTGCTGCTGCCGTTTCCCCCAGAATTTCGCGTTACGCATGACGTTAATCATACGCCATGTTAAACGCACCGCAAAAAAAGTTCGCCTCTGCATCTTGGCAATAAATCACACATTTTAAAGTTGAAAGTTGGCCGAAAAGCAGAGGAAAAAAACACAACAGCGGACGGAAAACAAATGCGACGACTGACCCAAAATGTCAGATGGCCAAATGGAAAGCGCCAAAATGGGAAAACGAAAGAGGAAAGGCCAAAACAAAGTGAGGGCAACGTTCTTTTTTTATAAAAGCGAAAGTCGCCGATGATGCAGTGGCTGCTGTTGAGTTAATGTCAGTTGGTTGTTCTCGGTTGTTCGCGGCCTGTTTGTTTTCGCTGTGTGTTTATGTGGGCCAAGTTGAAATGCAGCATCATCACGTGACCACTAGAAATTTGCATTTTAATGGCTTCCCCGGCATTTGGCACTACTTATCCTCAATTGTGTGGAGTGGCAGCGGAAAAAGGAAGAGGTCGAGCAGACGGTGTCAAGGAGGAGCACGGCCATTGGATGGCAACAATATGTGTTAAGTGTTGTCGTCGGCGCTTAATGATGCCAAGAATAAACTTGCCCCACACACACACACGCTCAGGAAGTAAAAAAAACAAAAAAGTACACAGTCATAAAACAAAAGAAACATAACATCAGTTTAAAATCAGTGAATACTACTATTAACGATGCAAACATATTTATAAACAAATTAACTTATTAATATATAAGATTTGAACAAAATGATTCCAAATTTAAAGAAACTATTTTATAGATTTTTTATCGTTAAGTTATAATTGAAAATTGATTGCTTCTTAATTCTTTGCAAAAAAAGGCGAACATTATTTTGTTTAATTTATGCGATATAAATTAAATTTTTTATTAAATTGTTCGTCTACTTTTTTAAATCATTTAGTTATGAGGTCTTCCATAATATAGGTACAGTGTGACCATGCAATACTAAGTAAGTCCCAATTTAGGCACAAACTAATTAAATTAAATTTAAGTAAGTTTCAGAACATTTTAACTACGCCATCTAATTTCGTTAAGGACAATTGAAATTGCCAATGACAAGAGCTGTTTTAGCTTGAAAAATAAACGAATTAATGAATAATTTTAAAATATTTTTTTTAGTGTATTCCCATATAGTAGTGTTGACAACACAAGGCGTGCAACAACAGCAGCTACAACAAAGAGCATCGCATCGGTAAACAAACAAACGACGGCAGCGACAACGCGTGACAAATGACACCAGCGACATCAAATTCCGCTTGCAACGCTCGCTGCAACGGAAACGTTGCCGGCGGTAAGGATTCGCTGGGGGCAGAATGGGTTGTGTGGCAAGTTAAAGAGGATGCGGCCAAGGAATAGGGGATATGGGAGGTCTAAAGGGAACTGGAACAAGCAACAAGCGGATATAGCGATTGTCGACTAGCAGCAGCGGAAAAAACAAGGGAAAATAGAAGAATGACGACAAAATGTTGAAGAAGAAGTGGGATAATAGTGTCACACAAAACGCTCAGCAAGTGATATCAGGACAGTAGTAACTGGTTAAAAGTGACAAAGGAAAATGCAACAAAGGTAATAATAGTCTAGACTTAAAGAATAGTAGAAATAAGTAAATCAACATAACTTTAGTTGTTCATAACATATACGGTAATAATTTCTTAATTTTACAAAAATTAGAACCCTAAATTATATGACAGCTATAGAATGGAAACGATAGTCAACTTTACTATTTAGTTTTGGCTATAACAGTACGTATAGTTAAACTTCGACTTGCCGAAAAAAATTATTTAGTCATTTTTATTGGAAGCAATAATATCAGAAAATGTAATCATGGATAATCTTAAACTATTTAGTATTTTTACATTGAATTAATTTCTGTTTTCATCACAATTAAAACGTAGAAAATAAATTTATGGGCGCAGATGTATGACATGTGCTATGCCACTTTAGAAGGAATTAATGAAAGAATTGTCAAGCCATCTGATAAAAAAAGGTACTTGGATTTCTTAACGTATCTTGAAAAGATTGATTTTACATAAATGTTAAATTTCCTACTTAGCCAGGGTGCACATTTCAGTGGCATTCATGCTCGGTTGAGTGCCTACGTTTCGCTGCAGCTGCTCTTGACTGTTATGTCACCCCCGACGCCTCCTTAGCCCCCTGTTGCCCCTTTTTAGCTCCCCTTCGCTTAGTTCTCAGCTTCTTGAAGCGCCATGGTGAGCTTAGAGCCAGTGACACTTGAGTTATTTTCGGGTTCTCGACGGAATAGGAATTGGAATGGGAAAAAGCGCAGATTGCGAACTGGCGCAACTAAGTGAAGGTGGAAAACGAAATACCAATTAAGAATGCGTTGACATTCCCACTCGGCATACTCCGCGCCACCCTTGAATTCCCACTCCACCTGGCACTCCAGCGGAGACCACAGTGCGTATGCGTGATAAACAAAGCTAATTGGAAAAACAAGAGAGGAATAGAGTCACAGACAGCAGACAGTGTTGCCAAAACTTTAAGTAAGGCAAAATGAAAAATATCTCGAAGAAATGCATTGCAGTTCAAAGTGATGTACAAAAAACATTTTTAAGCTCGTGTTTCAACTAAAAAAATAAATAATAAAAGAAATGAATAATAAGAAAAAAATAATTTAATGAAGGAAAATTTGTAAAGACATTTTTATTTTATAGGCGGCTTAAATTAGAAAAAAACTCGGACTTAGAAAATTAAAATTAGTTTTCTAATCGATATTCCTTTCCCTTTTTTACATAATACATTCAAATATCAATAGATTTGTCTACTGGTATTTAATTTTTCTTTTTTAGAGCTTATATTCTTTAATTTTAATCTGTTATAAGCTACATTGATAAGAGACTTAGCCAAATCTGTAATAGATCTTACTACTAAACAATATTCGTGGAAGAAGTATTCAAGTTGGCAACACTGATGACTAACGACGCTTACCTGATGCGGGCACTGCAGCCAGGACTCTCTGGCCCGGCGTTAGTCCTAGAACATTCATCCTTGATTCACCTCCTGCTGCTCCTCTTAGTTCTCCTGGTAATGAAGCAAACACCGTTCCCAGCAGGCCCAAGAATATACACAATTGCAGCCGCGGCTGAGAACTCTTCCTGATTTCCGCCATCCTGCGCTGCAACGAAGGATTAGAAAATTTGCTTTCAATTCAGAAGGCATCAAGTTATTAATACAATGAAGGGGCTTCTTGGAGAGGCCATTGTGTGAAGGGGCACGATCTCGGCCAGAGTAAAATGCAATTGTCTGGCGCATAAACTACAAAACAAAAGGATCGAGGGGGGCAACGGTTTCCATGACTTGGCCGTCGGCTGGCCTTTATTCTGTCAATTTATTTGAAAGACAAGCAGAAGGAGAGATTTTCTGGGAGAGCTTTTAATGCTCTCTGGTTACTCTAGTATTTATGTTATTAAAACAAAAAGTTATGGTCAAATAATAAATTAAATTTTTTTCGGAAACATTTTTTGCTTATTCATTAGGTTATAATGGTTTTATAATTATTTATTTATTGGCTTAATAAATTATCAGGTGCAAATATTAATTGATTCCACTTGATTAATGTTTTACAATATCTATTTTATTATCTCTTTTTAGTATGCGTCATTAAACCTAAAGATTTATAAATTTTCCAAATATACCACCTTTTTCTGAATAAATATTTATGATATACGAGTATAACATCTATATATATTGTTCACATATAAAAAAGTGTAAATTATAAATTATTTCAGATTGTTATTTAATTTTTATGAATATACAAATTGTATATTCGTTGACTCAATTTTAGTTGGTACTATGATTTGTATTCATATTTTAATTTTTTTGTTGCTTTTAGAATTAAAACCACTGCCTTCAATTAAAGAAATATTTTATATAATATATATATAATTCAAGCTGCCCGACTTAAGGTTTATACCATATTTTAAATAACAAACTGGTAACGTCACTCCAATCTGGTATCTCTGACCCTCACTTGGCAATTTTTCTGAGACGATACTGACAACCAGCATAGATTGCATGCCATGGGTGCTCCTCGTCCTGTTATTGCCGGGCTTATTAACGCTCCAGCGGGCCCAACTCTTCGCCTACGAATCCCGCTCCATTTCCCCCGCTAAACAGACAGTCAAGCACAATGGAAAAATGGGGAAAATCCTTTGGCCTGGGGCTTCAGAAGCGGCATCGCATCGACAGCCATTGTTGGGCGCCATCAATTGAGCAATTTGAATGGCGGCGGCTAAAGATTTATGAACCGCACAAGCTTCAAGATGCCTCAAGTTTTTGGATCAAGAGTTAAATAGAAGCATATAGAAGCAAACTTCATAGAATTGGTTTTTATTGAGAAAAACAAGTGACAAGAATAAATTAAATATATATGAATAAAGACCACTTTCAATACACACTTTAAACTACGGACTATAAATATTCACAGAAAGTTTTGAGGATTTTTTTTGTATTTAAAAAAAATAAACATGTATACCAATAAGAAAATATATGATATATGCCTTTTACAAAATTATAATTAGTATACAAAATTGGAATCACCAACCCATGATCACATTAATTAAAAACTAGTTTGAATATTTGTAATTTATCTGTTATAAAACGCAAAGCGTTCTTAAATGTGGAATTTAATTCTGGAATTTATACCATGCTTTTTTCCTGTAAGTGCAGTAAACCATTCAAGTATTTGGCAACAATTAAGCTGCTTAAAGAGTGCATTACCACCATTCACTTTTGCTCTTTTCTCGTTTAACGCGCCATTTAATGAGGGGGGAAAGGACTGAATGAAAAGGAACGACTGTGAAAAGGATGTGTGGCAGGGAAAACTAGCGTAAATGCACACACAAAACAAGAAACACATTGCAAAAGGAAAACCTTGCTCGTTTTACTCGTTCACTTGCTATGTTTGAACCCACACTCGATTGTCTATCTGCAACTGCTATTTTGTCTTTGTGGCTTGCAAAAACAAACAGAAAAGAAAAGAAAGGGAAGAAGAACAACTTTCGAGAGGAAAACAGGAGCATTAGGAAACAGGACGAGATAATGAGCTCGAATGGGTGGACATGGTTCTAAAGGAACAGAGCTTAACGCAATATCTTGAAATTAATTTACGAATTTTAAATATCACAGAAAATTTGCATTTTCCATTTAATACTTAAATAATAAATAACAGTTTACATATTTTTTAAACGTTCTTATCTTTTTTTTTTCTTAAAGTACTCACTTATGGTTATATTTCAATAAATAATTCAAAGAGATGAACTTTGATCTTGACCAGCACAATCTAGAGTTTTTATAAGAATTAACTGCAATTACTGAATATTGCTAGTAAAAATGAAATTTAAAAAGTGAGAATATTAAGGTATTTTTTAAATTGCAGTTTTTTCCTAAATAAATCACTTGACAATGGTTTAGTAAGTCGCAATTCAGTGAAAAACTTAAATTAATATGTGAACAGCTTGTCTATCAGGACACTATAAAAAAACAAGGTAAATAAATATAAATCCACAAAAAAGTGAACCTTGCATAATTTAAAGCCAAAAAATACAAATAAGAACAATAAATTTTTGCTCATTTAAATTGAAAGGTAAATATTTTAAGCAATTAAATTGCCATTGCACAAAAAACCCATTTTATTTGACTCCGTTGTCAGTTGCAGATTTTCCTGTTTCCAATTTCGTCCATTAGTATTTGTTTGCCGGCTTTATTTGTTTTAGTGAACGTTTGAAATAAAATTTAATTTCACAGCTGGCTATCTTTTTATTACACTTTCGGCTCAGGATCTGGTATATATATGTACCGTTAAACGCCGTTCCAATTGGTCGTTGCTTTTAATTGTTACTGCTGCCGAAAAATGTAAACGCTCGACTGAACCGCACAAAATTCAAAACGTAGAAGGTAGTCGAACAAAAAATTGAAGACAAAAAAAGAAGAACACTGATTGAAATGTGAGAAATCAATGCTCGAATATTGCCATATAATGACAAGTACCTCAATGCGGGGGCGATGAAATGGTATCAGACGATAACAAGCCAGCAAAACGCTGATAATTTCGACTTCACCGCAGAGTTCAAAGGTCAGGAAAGTGAAACGACGAGGTTGCGTAGTTGGAAATTAATATGCGTTAAATGTGGAGAGCTGTTTGTCTAATTAAACAGCTCCAATCGGCGAGATAGCGATTGCTCAGAAAGCAAAAATAAAACTGATAAATGGGCATGGCCCAAAATTGGTAATAGACCATGTTCAAATGAAATCACCATCAACAAATTGGTAGCGCGTAATTTGATTCTGAAATAATTGAACTATATTATGGCCCCCATCCTCGATTTCAAATTTTCACCATTTTTAATTGGCGGGTAAGTGAAGACAAATGGAAAAAAAAACTTTATTATTTATATTGTGTTGTAAAAATAGCACTTCATTTTGAATCGGATCAATTCCTTCAAAAACTTTAATTTTTCAAAATCGGTTAAAAAGTTTTAAGCGAAATTTTTTCAAATCAAAATGAATACAAAAATTAGTTTGGGTTTATTAAATAAATTTTAAGTTACATTAACACTGCCTCAAGTTGTTCTTAAAAAATATTAAAATTTAAGTTTTTATAAGAACATGTTGAAAAAGTGTTTGTTTCGGACCGAGTAACCTGTATAAGTCCCTAATAAAATTAATTATAATTAAGTTCCTAAAATTTATTTAGACAGCTTTCCGACCATTGATTGTCATGCAACTTACTGTGGAAAAATATTTTTACAAAAGGCAGAAACAGAGTAAAGGAAAAAAACGCTTAAGCCCACCCACTTGCGCCCACTAATTCATTTCAATAATTGAGCACCTTTTCGACTGCCTTTCATGGCCCTTTTCCATGGTGGAAATATGCCACTGAGGTGATGGGAAAGGGGCTCTATTAGTTTTGACATTCATTTGACAGTTTGATGAATGAATTAAGCACACAAAGGGCGCAAATATTTATGAAAGAAATGGGAATAAATGCAGGAAAAGGAGCGAAGAAAGTGTGGTAATAGAGAAGTCTGAGGAACGAGGAAACAGAAAAGAAAGGGGCAAATATTGTGAATGGCAATCGGAGAAAAAAGGAGAGATTTCTATCGCTTGCACACAATTTACCTAGTTTTTTTCCAACTGCTTGGCCTTCTTCTTGGCCCTCTTATTTCCCTATTTCCTTGTCGGCCCCTAAATGTCTTCGTAACCCCGAGGCCGCCAATTTGCTTCCAATTCCTGCTTCAAGTGTCTGCGAAAAACGAAAATTTTCCTTATTCGGGAAAAAGAGAAAGCGTTAGGCAGATTCGTATCGTGGAAAACAATTTTAAATGGCGCACACAAAATGCCGGAAACCAGACACAAAATGTTAACGGAAAGGGAAACAGACGTTTACACACTCACACACACAGACAGGCGCACACGTACACGAAGGTCGTTTGAATGTGTTAGTTGATGCAATTTAAATGGTAAAGCGGGTAATCCAAATTGGTTTTGATGATTTATTTTAGCTTCTGATGTGCATATAATATGGCATAGAATTTCAGTTGACTGTCTCTCAATTTTCGTATATTAAATATGGCAAAGTAAACACTTAATTAATTAATCCTTTCAACAAGAAAAGACTAGAAATGCTACATTTTATTTCAAATTAAAAAAATCCTTGAATACATTCCATATACGTGTATAAGGTTGCAAATTAAACATTGTATTTTAATCCTTGCGGGCATTATAGTTTCGAAAATGTACCGGAAAATCCATTACCCTGGTTGTTTTTAGTCATTGAAATTGAAATACGGTATTTTTAAATGTCAGTAACAGTTGCATAAACTTCGGCTTCCCAAAGTTTGCTTTTGCAAAGTTTTAATTTTAACGTTGATCAATTTTTTGATCCATTTTCATGTTATTTTTAAGTTTCCTAAGAATTGTAAAATGTGACCCACTATTGGACACCTAAAGTTAATACCTTTACCAAATTGTAAGCCGATTATAAAGAGACTTTTGATTTGATTTCCTAATAAGCTGCTTTAAAATTTCTTAATTTCCGAATTTTCGGGTCATTTCACAAATAAGTTTTTTAGAATAGGGAAATGTTTTATTGGTTTTCAAAATAAATACACCAAATTTCTTAACGGAGTCACCATCCTGAGCAGGGGACCGTTAGTTGGAACACCATCCCAATCAGAGGCCAAAAGCAAAGACAAAAACCGATAATTCACGGAGCCTATTGGAAAAATATCGAGAAAAAATATATGAACCCCAAACTCGGTACAATTTTGAATTTGAATTTAAGCGCTTATATTTTGGAAACGGGTTTGACAATCAAAAACGAATTAAACCCTTGGAAAAACAAATAACAACTTCGATTCTAACTCTTGTTTTTTAAAAGCTTCGGAAATGTTTTGGTGCTCAATAAAATCCAAAGTATAAAATATATACATAAATATGGACATGTTGTTTATATACTTATTTATTTGGTTACAACTAATCAAATAGTCTTACACTTAAGAAAATATTAATTAAGCAAATCAAATAATTAGGTCTGGACATAAAATTGTAGAGCAATTATTAAAATCCATGTTGCAGAAAATTCAACAAACCATTCAGTTATTACAATTAAGTCGGTTTTATAAAAGTTATTTAATGCAATATAATCTAATATTTATTGTTGTTTATTAAACAGCCTTTATAACTTATAGAAAATTTTTATAAATATATTTCCGTTGCAAAACTATCGGCATTGTACTTCCTTTACCCAACCTATCGATACACCCCGCATTCTAGTTGGCAACCCTGGCGGGCGAATACTTGGTGGGAAAGTCCACATTCGACCTGGTCACACTGCTGTGCAATGTTCTCAGCAGCAGATTTGAGAAAAAGTGGAAAAATAACAAAACAAACGTGCAAAAAACGGTGAAAAACGCGACGCGCAATTGCAGAACGAGTGCACGACAAACGGTTGATTAAAACGGCGTGCGCCGAAAAGCGGAAAAAGCTCGGAACAAAACGAAAAAAGTGAAGAGCCATCATCACAGCGACGAAGATGAGCGAAGAAGAAGAAGCTAGGCAGCAGCAGCAGCAATAATAAGTTGTTCTCTATGCGAGTGAGAGAGTGCAGCAGAGCAAAATAGGGGCATAAAAAACACAAAATAAACGAAAATAAAAATACGAGATTGCTGCGAAGTGAGTGTGCACAACGGTAAAAGTCCCGTTGCCCGCAAAAATCTACCGCCCCGCGTGCCTGTGTGTGTCGGTGTATCGGTGTCGCTGTGCGTTCTTGCGTGTTGGTGAGATTTCCCATTAGTGTGCGAAAAACAAAAGCCAAAAAATCGGAGCAAAGAATATATTGAAATCAAGGAAATGCAATATAGAATCGGCCGCCGCCGCCGTTGCTGCGTGCTGTAATCCCAATTGGACTCCCAATTGGAGGCACACTCGTCCGCCTCTGTGTGTGTGCGTGTGTCTATGTGAAAAGAGGTCAAAGGCGCAACAAAAGTTTTTCACTTTTCATGCGGTAACCAAAAAAAAATAGCGCAAAAAAAAGTGCCAACCAGCTGAGAGCGCAAAATACAAAAAAAAACAACGTCGCAGTTTTGCGTTAAAACAATAAACCTGTCCAAGTGTGCGTGCGCGTGCGGCTGTGTGTGTGTGTAAGAGCGAGGCGAAAAAGGCAAAAAAAAAAAACAATCAGTTGTTTAAATAATCCCTCAACAAACCGATTTTCGGATTTAACAACTCTCGGCTCGCAAACAACTCAAAATCAAATCTGGTTTTATCAGACGACGCAAAACAAAAAGGCAAAAGCCCATAACAATAACAACAAAAAAAGCGCCAAAAATTAAATTCTTCTTATGAGATTTTAATCAAGCAAGAATCCAATTTGCATAGCACAAGAGCGACAGAGAAAGCAAGAGATCCAATTGGAGTTGGCGGTGAAAGAGAGAGAATGTAAGTAACGCCTCTGCCCGTTCGTTTTGTTTTTGCCGCCTATTCGCTTTGCACACTTTTCTGCAAATGTTTTCCCCCCTTTTTCCCTTTTATTTTCTTTCAACTGTTGCGGTTGCGCCGCGCGATAAATAAACAAACATCGGAAATTATTCAAAAATTCCAGGGAACGCGCGTGGCTGTAAAAAAAAATCGGCTGATAAGCGATTCCCAGGAGACAAATGTGAGAAATAGGAAAAGAGAGAGAAATGGATAAATAGGGAGAGAGAGGGAAATAAAATGGGCCATTCACACATACAGAGAAAGAAAAATGTTTGATTTTTGGTTTCATTTTGCACCTCTTACCAAAAAGCCAACAACATTTATATTTTTTAATATAAAAAAAATCCCGTTTTAATTGTTAGGAAGACATGTTAATATTATATCAGTGAACCAATTGAAATGAAATGTAATTTACAATATAGACATTTATTCACCTGTAGGATTTGAACTCTTATTTTTTGTTTCTCGAGGAAGACAATCTGTCTAACATCTAATCACATATCGACATAATTAAAAATGTAAATGTCATTTTGATTTGAAATCCATTTGTTTGTTTCCGTGGAGAGTTTGCTCAATAAAGCATTTTTATCGGTCGCAGTTTATTAAATAATTATTGAATGTCATTATCGATTCGTGGGAATATTTCCGCTTTTGCCCAACAAAACCCCTCCCCTTAAATACCTACCCTCCAAAAAAAACCCCACTCCCTCCCAAAAAGTAATTCCTACCTTTGTTTGTTTAGAGGCGTGCTCGGCCTTTTTATGGCCACAATTGCCGCCTCGGCCAAAAGTGTGAGCCGCATTCAAAATCTCTTTGCTCCTGCATCGCGTTTTATCCATAATGGGCCTTACACTTCCGATATCTACTGGGATTAGTCATAGTATAGGGTTCTAAAGAAAAATAAAGATAGTATTAAAGTAAATCTCATTTGAATATGAATGAAAAACCTCCTTCGGGTAT